GCCCCCCTTCCCCACCACTCCCAGTTACGTAGCGCGTGAAGGATGCCTGCACAGCCGTCTCCTCCTCGCTCCTAGCTGCTTGAGACGTTTCGTGGGAGAGAATCGCAGACGTCTCTCCCGCGAAACGCACCAAGCGGAGACGAGGGAGGAAGAGATGGCTGTATTCGTAGCCTACCTTTCCTCGCCTTTCTCGCTGTTTTTCGTGCGCCAAGTCTGCAGAACAGGTGTTATTTTGTCGCGTCACATGGGCGAGCGAAGGCACGCGCGAAGCGAGCGAGGAGCGCAGAGGACGCGCGACGGGGAAAGGTTAGGTGTGATTTCAGTTTATCTCATGCAGCGCCTTCCCCCATCGCGAGTGTCTCGCGCTCCTCGCTCGCTTAGCACTTTCCTTTGTTCGCCTGAAAAGCTCGGAAAAATAACGCCCGTTCTGCAGGCAATCGTGCGTCCAGACGAATGTAAAGGCTGTAAAGGCACTGTTTTGACTAAATCGTGATTTATATTGCAGCGATTTCTTCAACGTCGAAGCTGCAAAAAGGAGTGCGAATGGGGTTGTCGATATGACTCAGACTGCTGTCTTTATAAGAATACGGGCAAAAATGGACGATGCAGAAGTTACAGTAATTGGCCACACGGATAGTAAGTTCGCCTTAAGTTAGCCACTTATTATAAGTGATATAATCCCAAAAGTACCCAACTATAACTGGCAAACAAATAAGTGAAGAAACAAACAAATTAATTCGCTCCTAAAAAGCTATAACAAAGTGAAATAATTCAGTGGATAGTCTGTTGAAGAGGTTTCACTCGCGCGCAATGTTCACTGTTCTTTTTCATGTTAACAGCGGTTTTCCATTTGAAGTGATTGTTTATTCTTCAAAATAAATTAGCTCTGTTTCCAAGACAAAAAATAAACAACACAAGAAGTTTCCCTGCATACAAGTACTAAGATGATTATAGAGTTTTAGAGACATAAGATCCACACAAAATGACAAATTGATCGAATCAAGAGCTAATGAGCTTCTTTCAGTAATTCTCCGTGGCTGACCTTGAAAGTGATCAAAAAAGCTCTGGCTAACGATTGATTCAGGTGATTCACACCACGTGAACAGGTCCAGCTTTTGCGTTTAATTCTCTAAAGCCTGATCTACATGTTATAAGAATCCCAGATTAAGAGAAATTTCACTTTTTTGGCGCCGAGCGTCCAAGATTTTGCCCAGTTAATATAAGAGCCACCGATTGAGCAGACATTTCCAGTCATCTGGTTTGGTCGGGGACAAATTAGAGCACTGTTCAGTGAGCTATTTTCGGATCAATTAAGATTTCTGCGAAACTGCACACCTACTCCTCCCGTAAGCCAACATTTTGCCCTAAACGAGAAGTAAGTGTTATGTTGGCTTAGGGGAGGGGTAGGTGGGCAGCCCCTCCAGGTTTATATTTCCCGTGATGCTCGGGGTCATCGTGATGGGTCGCACCTGGACATGCTTGTAATATTTGGAATATTTGAGAGTACCAGTAAATTCCTGTTTTTTCACTTTCGCCCAATGTAAACGCTTAACACAGATTTGACTGTATTTTGTGCTTATTTTATTGTGTTCTGTTTTATTTGCAGCAAATATCAGTGTATTCACCCAGACTACCGATATGTCACCCCTAATGAAGTAATAAACGATGATTGCGGTACTTTTCAGAGAGGAAAATGAAACGACGATCATGCGTGTATCTAGTCTGATTTCTCTATTTTCCAATTCCCCATAATTCACTCTGTTGTCACCCCAAATTTTGCATTTTCAAATTCTGCATATTCCCAAGAACATCTGAAAACAGTAACTTAATACACAAAATTTGGGGGCAAAAAGACAGAAAAGCGCGTGCATTATGGGGAATTCGAAAAATGGCAATGAGTGAGGATATACAGCTGGCAATGCTTTTAGTTTCAGTGTGAACGTAGATTGTATCACCTTAAGCGTTGTATTACATTTTGTAAAATTCAGTGTGAAAGAACCAACAAATAAATTTGCCTAAGAGAAAAGTCAGTGAAAAGTGAACGCCTCATCTTCTGACGGTAGTATGAGGCTCGTGTGTGATACCAGAAGGGGTAGTTACCAGGAGCCCATCAAATGGAGCCTCCATCTCCATTTATTTCTTGAGTCAACCCTTTCCCGAGTAGATTTATAACTAGAACGGCGTGTTTCCCGCGAAAAGTGTCATATTTCCGTGAGTCTCGTATGTCACCGTGAAAAAAATGGAGTTGGATGGAGTCGAACTCAGAAGCCCATCCTTCGACCGTTTTCGTTTTTACTATACGTCCATTTTTATGATTTTACCGCCGCTGGGATCTGGGTATCATGATATAAACGTTAATAAATTACCCGACTGAGACTGAGCATAAAGCGATGGGACTTGATGGGCTCCTGCAGTTACTCAGTCAATCACAGCATTGATCGGGAATAACGTGATCTCAATCCGGGTTTCGCCCCCTTAAGGGATTCCTGAATCCGGGAAATTTTTGCTTGAGGAATCTGGAATTTAGGTTGTTGAATTTGGAATCCTGAGCTTTGAAATCAAGAATACAGCTGAAGGAATCCGGAATCCAAGTTCCACTGACAGAGACTGGAATGCAGAACCTGTAAACTGGGGAGGGAGGGGGGGTACTCCCTTATATAGGCTTTATATGTATGTGCGGCGCCAAAGGGTATGGTTTTTTTTAACCGTTTTGGTCTAAAATAGAGTATCAATTTTGATCATTTGGTCTGAACAGGAGTCTTGAATGCTTTTTACATTGGTCTGACCTAGAGTATTGATTTAAAGGTCAGGTCTGAAATAGGGTAGGTAAAATCACATATTTTGGTCTGAAATATGGTAAGGGTTTCAGGTAGCGTGCCGCACATCTCCACCCAGTTTTCTGGAAGTACCCCCCGGGACCTGAAATCGGGAATCCACTGAGTGGAATCCAGATTCCAAAGTGTCTTAGATTCCCTCACATGAGGTCCTCTTGGGGGTTGGGGGGGGGGGGGGGGTTGCGTATGTCCCTCGTCTGAATTTCAAAACCTGTAGTTGAGGAGGATGCCATGTCGCTGTCGGTATTTTCCTATTGTATTTGCGTTTCTTTTTCTTTCGCTGTCGCAGTTTCAGGCCATCTTTGTACATGTGTCGTTTGTCGCCATATCTGCTGTCCTGTGTCGCTGTTTCAAGGCCATGTCACTTGTCGGAATTTTACCCAAACAGGGCCTCTCACATGTAGTCTCCTTCGCAGCTGTTTTTTAGGCTCGTCACGCAACGCTCTTCCTTCCTCTCTTTGTGGGGAGGAGCGTTGCGTGACGAGCCTAAAAACGGCTCGGCGAGGGAGACTATCAACCGTGGAGTGACTTTTGAAGACAGATATCGCAGGCAAGGAAGAAATTTTACAACAAATGATTCGAAAATTCTAGATCTCAAATCGTCTTCCGAACAGTTTTTTCCGAAAATTGATGTTGGGTGCCCCTGAGATATCAACTAAGCCGAATTTTTGAAAAATGTTAGCGCCAAATATAGGCAGTGTCAGTCTCCAAGAAAGTCAATAAAAAAAACTAAGGGTGTCACCATTCTTAAATTCTTCCTCCTCGCTCATTTCTTTTCTCCTTTTTTTTCCCTTCGCTAGTGTGATTTGCGAGCTTGTCGGGCGCAAAAAACCTGCTTTTTGGCCCTATTCGGCAGTCAAAAGGTTGCGGGCAAATATCGCTAGGTTTAAATTAAAAAAATCGGCTGCATATACATTGATTTCTCAGTCTTGATTGTTATTGATATTTCGCAAACGACATAAAGATCTATATTGTTTAATGTTTTATGCTTTAATAAAATACTCCCAACAGCGTTTACTATACTGGGAGAGAAAGAAATATGTCACCAAGAAAAATAATTAAGACAATATTTTAAATAATGTAAAATTAGAATACATAATTTATGTTAAAAAACAAAACAAACAAATCTTTGTTATCCCTCCCCCCCCTGAAATATTGCATGACTATTGTTTGCAATTTCTCTTGGGAAAATAAAGATTATTAATTTATTATGGTATATCAAAAATAGCCTGTGTACTGACCCCCCTCCCTTTAGTAAAAATTACACTCGCGTACAAAAGGCGAGAAAAAAAAAAACGCTATCCTGTGATCTAGATTAGACCTTTCTAGTTCATGTGTTGCTGATTATTTTCAATGGCGAGACCCCCCCCCTCCCCGCCTTCCTTGTCCAACCCAGTGGACCCATTCCTGTAATTGTTCAGTCATCGGAAGGAAATACTAAACAAATAACCCTGTTACCTCTGTCAAGCAACCTCGTCCCAGGGTCCTCTCCCCGGGGGGACCGAGTAAGAGAAGTCCCTGGGCACGAGGTTCTGACAAGTGGTGTAACCTTAAGATGCAGATGCAGTCGTGGAACAACCTGAATGGCCCGCTTAGTTTTCAAGGGCGCCATCCATTCAACCAAAATTACCGGAAATTTCGGTCCAAAACTCAATGGATCGGTTCGGTTCCGACCGGAAAAGTTTCGAAAAAACTGGTCCAACTTTTGAGGTGGACCAGTTTTCTCGGTCGGACCAGTCGGAAATTTTGGTTGAATAGATCGCGCCCGTATGAACATTATATGTAAACTCTTTTCTGTCGTCGGTAAAAGAACTATTAAAGCAAAATGAATGACTGCAGGATGGAGCAATTTAAAGTGATTTTAACTGGACTGACCTGCAGCCCACTTTTCATCGATGTTTTGATAATAAACAAACAATAAACAAATAGAGTAAAATGAAGATAATACCGTAGAAAAGTACAGCAAGTACTTGCTAAGTAGTTGGTGAATTTTGGCCAAAGATAATACCTGCCCGAATTAGATTCCAGCTGATTGGGCTAATTCGGTGACGTCACTGAAGTGTGTGACAGCGCGACAAACGGGTGTCGATTTCACGCTAGAAAGACGCTACAAAAACACGATAATCTCTTCAAGTGGTCACGTTCTATCAAGGTAGGAGGGCGACCATGGAAGTGTACGAAGCCAAGTACGATTACTGCGATGAGTGTGGGGATAGTCTTCTCAGTTTTAAGAAAGGAGACAAGTTTATAGTCACTTACAAAGACGAGGGAGGCTGGTGGGCCGCGCAAAATTTATCAAACAACGAAATCGGATACATCCCTTCATCGTTCGTTGAGGTGAGGAATATCTGTTTGTGTTTTCTTAGTGTATCAGTGCATCTTCTTGAAATATTGGGTTTTCGTAGTAAAAATCTTATATTATTTGATATTTAAATTAGCGATAAGCCTTCGGATGTTGTGGTCGGCGTGTGTTGCACAAATAATTATAAATTATTCGTGCAGGTTTCCTCCTCCCGGAGAAATGTATTGCATGTATCGTTGTGGGATCGTTGTTTTATTTTGACTATTTTGTTTCTTCTTTGCTAAAGAGCTACACTTTTTGTTTGAGTGAGCTGACTATGTATGAATTTTAAACACTAAGATTGCGGATTTAGCTTCTAATACGAAGCGATCGCAAAAAAGCGTAGAATTCCTCAATAATTATGTTCCTGAAAATGGGAGGAAATCACTAGATTGAAGTATTAGCTTCCGCATGTACTTATAAATCGTCTTCAGTATTCCATTAAGTTTTTTTGAGTTATCCCATTTTTTTGCGGATTCTCTTTGTATCTGAATCATTTTAGCTAAAAATATTGAATATTCGCTTCTGTATCGCGGCTCAGTGACAACCGATGCGTCGGTCAATCTGAAACGTTCATTATAGTATTGCCAGACACAGCGCTGCAGAAATAACAATTTATCTAACCACCACGTTGCACAAAAACGAAATCGGTTTTTCATTGGTAGAAACAACCTTGTTTAGTTCATTGTTCAGGACTATCATGGGACTTAGATGAGGTTTGCTAAGGTGATGGACGTGTCCGAACAGTTTCGTGTCTAAGGTTTCGTGTGATCGTCACCCTGTCAGGAAAAAGAGTACCTTCACCCTTACAAATGATTGCAATAAGTTGAAAAGCACACTCTGTTATTTTTTACGCTGTTGTCAGTGTTGTGAGCTACGTAAGTGCAGGTATGCCATCTTTCTCCATTTAATTTGTGATCGGGATTTCATCGTGTAATGACTCGATGTTTACATAGTCTGGTAGGCTTCTTAGGCTTTGTATTTTGTGCTGCATACCAAATTAGCATGCCGCTGTAGAAAGCAAAATTCTGAAAATTAGAGGGGATCGTAACCCCCGAAGAGAGATCTTTTTAGTTGCTATGGCCAGGTTATAAGAACTGTTTTTTTCTTTCTCTTTGGAGATAAACTGCGAGAGACCTTTAGCTCGGATATTTGGGAACGAAGTCGATACTGATTCACTGAACCAACGTAACAATATTACTGAATGTTTCTTTTATTATATATTGGAAGAGCGGGAAAGATAATGAATATTTTCCAAACGAATTTTAAATTTCCTAAAAAGAACACGCGAACACGGTAGAAAATTACTTGAGTTGAAAACTGCATTTCATCTGCAGTTGGGCAGTGTAATGCTCATTGTGTTCAAAACTCCAGATCCAGGAACTTCACAAACGTGCAATATCCCAATTTTCAACCTTTGATATAATATTTCAAGTGTCACATTGGAAGCTTCCATATATTAGTGAATTTTAATACTACTATGAAATATCAGGCTTACACACATCAGCATTTTATCAGGGAAAATTATTCTGCGCTGTATAACTGGCTGAATGGACCAATATTTCGTGAGATAAAAATGGCTAAACCAGTGAGCTTTTCCGGTTGTGGTTTAAGAGCCGGCCGCGTCATGGTTTCGTAGCTTTTTGTTTCCGATTTCTTGGCTATTTTCAATCTTTTCTTTTCGGAATTAGCAAGATTTACACAACAATCAAACGTAATACTGTTTACCAAATTAGGGGATCGAACCCAGTTTCTTCACGCGCAATCTCCTTCAAACTATTTCCCGTGTGTTGCTCAATTTCTTGTTTTAGTAACTGATCGGCGGTCGAGCTGAAAGTGTAACAACAACTACCCTTCTGTCCAAGGTCAGTATGCAAGCATTAGCTGAAATGATTGATTTTTTATAGGTTCGAAGTGGTTTTATCAGTGAGAAGAAGGCGAATGAAGTGCTAAACGCCGTTCGCGAAAATTTGTTTACAGGTGTATAATGCATGTATGGCGCCTATGCGAAGGGGAAAGGCCGCCAGCAAACTGCTTTAACTTTCGGCATTCACTTTGTGAAGGCTGCAAATTGTCCTTTTGCTTCTACCTCATATGCCTTAGGAGTATAGCTTTTCATAGATATTTTCAATGGACAAAAATATTCCTCAGAGGAACCAAAATAGAAAGAGCAATATGCTTGTCAACATCGCCGTCTCTCACGTCATTTCGGTCGCAAGCGAGCCGTTTGCTGCGAAAATTGTAATACTGTGCTATTTTTATAAATCATTTTCACACTTACTTCACCAAGCCTTCTTGCAGAACAATATTGAAGCAAATTTTCTTTTCAAAAGGATCGTGTTTGTGATTAATCTGCCTCTTGTTTGTTTTCTAAAAATTTTAAAATTGACAGGAGAGCTTCGCGCGATTCACGCGGGAATTTAGTTGATTTCTACGCTCTTGATTTTCTCTAAGTGTTTCTTAAATAATTGATTGAGAACATGTTATGTGCTTCAAAATCTTGCTGGATTTTGTTCTGCCTTCACGCTTAAAGTTTCCTGGGACAATAATATCTCTAATTGTCTCTTTGTTGTGTAAATACGGCGTTTTGTTGCCCTTTAAAATTTCCGTAGCATCCTTTCGCCGTTTGAAAAGTGCATGATATATTAAGGCAAGAGCTGTGTTGTTCTTAAAGTCAGTGAATTCTGTATTTTCTCTCATTCCACTCGCAGTTACGGTAATTAGACAATGGTTCGAAACGTCCTTTTGCAAATAAGCTCATGTGATAAAATCAAACATCGCCCATGCCTTGTCTGTGTGCCTTTGCGTTATAAAAAAAGAGATTGTCAATACCTCTCTAAAATGTTCGTTATATCACACAGAGATCCCAACATGGTTCCTCTAATACCTTTCAGCTGTTTGTTATCCCAGCTGTACTCAACGGTAACCAATCAGTTAGCCCACGAGGGTGTATAATATGATTTGAAAACCAACACGTTTCGCATTTTTCAAATTTTGTTTTCTTCATGATTTTTCTCTCAGCATAATTAGGAAGTGTCTATAAGTTAGAAAGAATGTCAACATTTTTTGATAGATAAACAAGTTATGTCACGATTCACGGTCTGGCTATTTGTGTATACCAAAAAAGATGGAGGTGAAATGCCTTTTGTGTTGGTTTGCTTTTTGTCAGAATTGAATTATAAAGTACCTTGTAAGTGTTCAAGTAGTACATGGACATGCATGAAGATTTGAACTTGCAAAAGTTTTTCAGAATTACATTTAAAGCATGGACAACCAAACGTGAATTCCATGCCACTGTCATAATGTGGCTATGGGATACATGTTTTTTAATAAAAGCATTTTGTATCAATTAACTTCAGCAGCATGATGTATGTGCATCATTGGCCTGAGATATTTAGGGAACAGAGAGAAATCCATTAAATTTGGATAAGGGTGGTTTTTGGAATTAAAAAAAATATATACTGTGTAGCCCAGTATGAAAGAAAATGATTTTTTAGCTTAAGTTCATCCTCCAAACCAGTTTTACAGCTTGCCATTCAGGCAAGCTGTAGCCATTATGTACTAGCCCAGATTCATTTCAGCTAGCCCCAAAAATTTTTTGATGAGCAGGATCGGTTGCACGTTTTTTCTGTAATTTCAATTCCCCTAAAAAACTTTACTTGGCTGTTGGGCAAGTTACATGTAAGAACAAAATTCACTAGCCCTGGGCTATTGGACTCTTCTAATTCTTTGGATGCTGCATGTAATCTTAGTTGAGCTTCAAGGATAACACCAGTGATAGCCTATTGATATTGTGTGCATAAAAAATTTTTTCAAATAACAACTCTGATAATGGTAGTAGCAGTTACTGAGGGAACAAGCCAAAGAAGGCTTCCAGACTAAATAATTGCAAGTTAAAACCTAATGATCTTTAAAAGTTCTGTTGCCTTACTTGAAATGAAACACTTTGACTCATTATTATACATGCATATGTGAGGAGTGATACAATATTATATATTCCAGGTCGTAAAGAATACAGCCAATCAGAATGCTAGAAATCTGTTTTATATTGCTTGTCTGTAACATGTCATATTTCATGAAAAAGTCTTGGTTGTGCGTGCAGCCACAATTTTGCACCACTGAAAAACAGAGAAGATTGTGACTGGCGAAACTTTTCAGTCTACAAAAATTGTCCGTTGTGACTTTGTGGACCACCTCTTAAACCTAATTTTGGGCCGTCTGGAAGCGGAAGTTTAAATGTAAAACAAAAACCGACTACAATGGACAAAGAAATTATGAATTTTAATGGTCCAGCAACAATAAGAAACCAGAAAAGTAGTGTCACAAAGACTGAATTAGATGTAAAGAAAACTTATATTCATTCAACAATAAACTTAACTGAAATACCGCCAGAAAATCCAATAGTTGTCTTTGCCATTTTCTTCAATCAGAGGTGCATACAACTAAATTTGTTGACAAGCTGTTAATCACCTGGATAAGTGTACCTACCTTTGATGTAAACATTGCTTCATTTTTTTGTCTTTTTTCTTCTCCACTTATTAGTCTTACTTGCGTAAGCAGCGAGGCTGGTAATCTGCAAGCCGTTTTTGTTCTGCATATTATTTTAGCACACAAAAAGGTGGTTGGGGTCCCTGGCCTTCCTAGCAGAGATGGTGGAAACTGGGAATAAGAATTGTTGCATGACCGAAGCCACCCATGTTTTGCGAAGAAAGCTTAGGAAAGAATAATAAATACTATTTAGAGCTTTTGCGGAATGGTTCGGTCCACAAATTCTACCCCTTGAAAGAGATGTTAACTTTGGAACAAGTGAACACTTCAGTGGTCAAAAAAAGGGAAGAATCTTAATTAGTAGAGGGTAGCTGGTCGGGTGTTGTAAACATTTATCGTATGCAAAAAATGGGTCTTGTGAGCACACTGTTCCACCGTCACTTGCTTGAAACAATGTTTTAGGTTGTTTGGTTTCTAATATTATCATTATTAGAAAACAGCTCAGCTAGCTTCAAACAGTATTTTTCGGTGAAATTTCCTAGAGATAGTTAGTTAAAGCCAGGTCCTTTTCTTTTTTAATTTCTATTTTCAAATGAGAAGATTTCAATTGAAACTAATTTTGATGGGCAATCAGTGATGATCTCTGTGTTCATTGTTGTTTTTTTAGTGTGTAGCAGTAGTTGATCCATTGACATTAAACCAAATGGACGTGACAGCAAAACAGCAGAAGATAAAAATGGATGCTTTGTGTGAACTCACAGCAAAGATATCTCAAAATCCTAATCCAGGTAACATTTGAAGCATAGATAAAATGGCCTAGGAGGGTTTACATGTACAGTGTATAAAGGGGGTGGGGGGGGGGAGGGTCTTATATCCAGGGATCAGCTTATAACCGGATTAAAAAAAGTGTTTGAAAAGAAGCTGCATTGTACGTAGTGCTGATCAAAGTACTTTTTGAATATAATTGCTTTTTTCAACTTCAAAAAGTCATACAAATCAAATGCATTTCAATAAAAGCTTTAGGGGAACTTATATCTGGGAGAGCTTACAACAGGATGCATTTTTTGTTTGCATTTAGAAAGGACTATAACTGGGGGGAGGGGGCTTGTAACTAGGGGGGAGGCTTCCAAGGGGAGGTTTATGGTGTATTGGAAAAGCACACCAATTACCAATGTGCAAAGAAAATCTTGTCCGATCCGATAGCCCGGGGCTAGTGGATTTTGCTATCGGGCTAGCGATTTTTGTTCTTAACTTACCTGACGGGCAAGTGCTGTTTTGGAGGAAATTCAAATTACAGAAGGATTGTAATCAATCCTGGCAATCAAAAAGGGTTTTGGGGCAGTTGAAATGACCTGTGGGCTAGTACATGCTAACTACAGCTTGCCCAAATGGCAGGCTGTAAAACTGACTTTCTTTGCACCCTGAATGACTTATTGAAAAATTAATGTTAACTTTTTTGGCATGTTAACCATTACTGACAGCTCTGTAATATGACAATTTGTCTTGACATTTCTTCATATTGGTGTTTGGCATTGGTGTTAGTATTTTAAAATGGCATATCTTATCCACGTAATATGTATTGCTGTATTGGTTTCATGTAGGACGGTATCATCCACAATACCCAAGAGAGGATTATCTTGATGAATCAACTCCGCCAACAACTCCTGAGTTCAAAAGAAAAACAACACCTCTCTCTACCTCTAGGGAACAAGAAGAATTGCGCAGAGATCTCAAGTTTAGCCAACAAAGGTGTGTTTCAGTACAGTGTAGAACGTTTCATTGTTTAGCGCTTATTACAAACCAGGTTGGCACCATTTCCAAAATGTCTTGCATTAAGTCCCTTGAATTCAAAACATTTCATAAGTTCTTGGTGGTCTTAAAATTTTAATCAATAAATTGTATTATTGTGATCTGGTACTCCATAGAGTTGAGGTATAAGGCATTGCTCAGTATGGGTGTTGAATGACCCTGTTTGTTTTGTTTTTTAAAAATCTTTTTGCTATTCCTGCAAAGTAGCATTGTTCCAATTTTTCGCCAAAACTGTTTTTACCCTTGTTTTTGTTCTTGAGCCCTCTAGGAATTTCAGTGTTTGAATTCATTCAAGTACCTTTCCTCATAAAGTGGAATACCAACTCCATTCCCCTCAAGGGTGATTCTGCCTTAACTTCTGATTCAATGTCAAATTCTCCCTTTGTTTTTCAAAAATATACCAGACAGCTTGAAAAACGAAACTAGCGGTATATCTGAAGTCATTGCTGCATGGGGATTTTTTCTGGCACACCCTTGCTTCATTTCTAAGGTGTGGTGTGTTAATGAGATGCCTAAGAAAGGTCATCCTTAAATTGACTGATTTTGTTTTGTCTTTGTCTTATTTCAGAGGTATTCAGCTGGGTAGACCAGAGCTTGTTAAAACTTGGGAGAAATTTGAGCAAAAGAAGTCGGTGAAAGCGGAAAAAGAAAAGGTCCCTGATAGTGAACTAGAGTCAAGATTTCGCAGCATTTCACAGAAACAAGAGGTAAGAATTGTGGCATTGTGTCGTGGAAGCTTTTATTTGTTATTGTCGTTATAGACACAACAATATTAATAGAAGGCCAACTCAAGATTCCCGTCTGCTGATAGCTGACCAGGGTGAAGTCACAAGTCAACTTACAAGGCTCAGAGGAGTTATTTGTGACCTTGACTGTAGTTAAATTTTACAGTTGGTACCACAAATCACTTTTGTTTCGCTGTAGAATCAAGCTAACTGTCATGCAATCGAATAAATCTAAGAAAAAGACTGCCGAAGAAAGGATAGGACCCACCCCAGACGTCAATATTTAGGGTGGTCTGTAAGAAACAGTTAGCTGTATAGTCAGTAAAGTCATCTGTTGTAACTTTTCTCTTTAGGATCTCGAGAAACAGAAGGAAGTAGAAGACAGCAAACCAGAATTCTTGAAAGTCAGCCTGAAGAAATCCACTAGAGTAGTTGAAGCTACAAGCTGACCTGGAGAATCAAATTTTGTTCAAAGAAGAGAGTTATGTACACATCAGGTTAAAGTATATTATAAACAGGCTGCTGTGGATGTCTAGGAGGGAAGATAACTACTATAAGAAAAGTAAACTATGTTGTTATCAATGCAGTATTCAGGAACACCCATGGCATTTACATGTAGAATTAAGCCTCTTTGGGTTTCATCTTCTCCACTCCACCTTTTAAGAAAGGGTGTGTTAAGGTTTAAACTTCCCTTTGAAATGTTTTCGTTCAGTGGCCTTTTTCCCCTTAAAAGTTCCAGTGAACTTCCGTAGGGAGAGAATTCCTATTTTTTGCAGTCTCTCATGTTTACATTTTCATGTATGAAACGATAAAAGAGGAAGTTGTCAGTCAAGATTGACTTTCTATTACTTCTCCTTTGCCAGAGACCCCTAGTTACTGCCTGTTTTTATGCCACTCTCTATCATTCTGTCACCACAACACATTTTTAACAGCTTTTTCAGGTTTTTGATTTATTATTTTTTAATGTCAAATTATTTGAGCTGAATTTTCTGATAACTAAAGATAATGGAGTGGTGTGTAACCACTGGAATCCTTCAAAACAGTGGTAAAACACAGCTTGTTCAATCTTTCATTGCATGGATACCGAGGGTGGTGGAACTTGTCTGAGTCAGAAAGGTAAACTTTGTTGGCATTCAAAGTGCACCACAGAAAAACTACAAAAATGAGTACTGTTCAAAATCACAGTCTTTTTTTTTCAGGTAACAGACAATTTGATATCAGTGTTTCGTATTCTTGGAAGTCATCATGATTTAAAGTCCTTACTAAAATTTATTCAATATTAAATGGCTATTGATAAAAATTATTAATTTTTCTCGTTCTTAAAATTTATATTTTCACCCGTCATTAAACTTAATAAATATTAGGCCCAAATATTTTTTCTTATGTAATCTTTACCTGCAAAAATAACTTTATTGATGTTTCTACTTGAAAGAGTTAATTGAATAATTAATTGTATATTGTTGACAAATATATCTTAGGTTGCATGTGATTGGGAATCTGGATTTAGATTTTGAAATCTGGATTTTGGAGTCTGCAATCAAACGCAAAATCCAAAAACAGATTTTACCCCCAAGAAATCTCTCCTCGGGGTGGATTTCAACTAAGAGATCCAAAATCCAGATTTCATTGATTTCCTTTTTACCGTTTGATTGGGAAATCGGATAAAGGATTTGCAAAACTATTCTCATGAACAGCGGTCTTCTTTTTGCTACGCGTGCGCATGCAAGACCACTGTTCATAAGGACAGTTTTTTTAAATCCTCTTTTGAATTTCCCAAAATGGTTGAAAGGAAATTGCAAAAAAGATATCTCTAAAATCTAAATCAGTTGCACAACTGCTTGGATGTACAGATTGTATTGTTTCATTTTGACATTTTTCTGACTATGAGAGCACACTATATCTAATACTATCTTCTTGACAGCACCCAAAAGATTTCACCTTAGCAAACAAAGTTGAAATCTGCCGCTCTATGTAGCCATGCAACATCCTCTACGTCCGCATTGGCAAGTAAAATAAATTATTAAAATATATTGAGAGTGTATTCGCCCCATGTTAGGGAATCCACTTGCTTGTGTTTGCTTGTGGAATGTGGAATCCTGGGCTCTGGAACCCAGCTCACGGAATCCAGAATCCCATAATGTTTGGAATCCGGAATCCAGAATCTAGAGTCCGGTATCTAGTTTTCTTTTAAAAAGACTGAAATGCAGTACCTGGAATGTGGAATCCATGGCATGGAATCCAGAATCGAAGACTGTCTTGGATTCCCTGATATGGAGCGAGTGCATGCTAATGCTTCTTTGAAAAAGTGGCTTTCTGTTTGTTATTGTTCCAGTGAACTGCATGTTATTTTCTTTCACAGCTACGTCTGGCTGTGTGTTAAAATTGTTGTTACTGTTCCTTGTGCATAAGAAATTTGCACACTTTTTGCAGCATGTTTGCCATTATTTTGTATTTTAATATAGTTCCAGTTCAGAACCAAGTTAAGTTAAATAATATTATTTTTGTATTTTCTTAATTTTGTTTAGAAAAGTATCTACAGCAAAAGTACAAAACTATTCTTATAGAAGCACTGTCCAGTAGCTTCATTTTATTGTTTCTAGGAATTCATCCACAGACTAAAAGTCAGGGGCACCCAACTTTTTTCTGTAAAATAAATTTTCAAAGGAGGAGCAAGTATCGCCTAAAAATTTCAAAAGCTCAAGAAAGGGTAAAAATTTCCGGATAACCGCCCCACTCGTCTAAGATATTCGGAGTTTTCCTACTAAGTTACCTACGATTTTCGCAGTTTTTTTCATTATTTTTATTACCAAGATAATTGCGATTATTGCCAAAAAGGTGTCCTGAAAATTTTGATATAAAAACAGTTGCCCCCTATAATTTCGGCTACTCCACGTCCTCAAACTTTCGACCGGACCAATCAAGGTAACTAACAGTTTCGGACGAGGCGAAAAAGCCTCCTAAAACTTTCGAGACGACCCAAGCGCCCTGAGACATCGCAACAGATAGATTGATTTTTGGGCAGCTCCAAATTAACCAAACAGGCTTCTAGCATACAAAAAACCATTTGAGGCTCTTCTGGCGTATCAGGAAACATTGGGTCATTGGGTGCCCTTGTAAAAGTTAGAGCCACCTTGAACAGCACCATAAACAGTACCAAAGCAAAGTATTGAGAAAGTAGTGCTTATGCGCTTTCGTTTAATGATCACAGTTCAGGATTTCATCCACACAATCTGATGCTTGGATCAAGAGGAACTTAATTCATAATGTCTTACGTTAATGGTTATTGCATGCCTTTGTCTTTTAAGGTTGAGATTTTTTTTGTATATACTGAAGTGTCATACTGCATTATAGTGGAAATAAATAAGTATTCATAAAACTAAAGAAAGAAAGAAATTTTATTTGGTAGAGAAATTTCTGTTGTTGATTTATTTCCTCTAACTCAGTAATAATTCATGAAGAGCCATTTTGATTTCTGCAAACGTTTACTGCAAGATTTTTTGCTTACTTGTGATCTATAATCATGTTGGTAAAATCGTAATCGTAATCACAGAAAAGCAACTGTAATTATAATGACAATCATCAATCATAATAACCAGTCGTGATAATAGTCAACATCATAACCGCAATCTTAATTCTGGTCTTTAATGATAATAATCATCATTTATAATCAATCCCAATCACACAGAACTACAATGATGACTGTAATTGTAGCGGCCTGGATAACCTGCGTCCCCGTCCACCGCCGCTAACGATCTAAAGAAAATCAAGAGACCGGGAGCAAGCTTTACCCTAGTCAAACAAGAAAAATTTGCAAAAGCTAAGCAAAGTTCTTCAAAGCGAAGGTTGAGTTTAAAGTGTCAGACAATACCAATACGCTGTAAATTTACTACCCTTTTTTAGAGCTCCCTAAAAAGTGTTCTCAATGGAGTTTTGGTCGGCGCCATTTTGCAAGCATAAGATTACTCAGGCACGACGCGTTTTCAACTAAACGATACTCAGTATTTGAGAAAAATGAAAAGATATATATGTAAAAACAAATGCCTACGATGTTTGACTGCGATGGAGGAGCAAGCTAAATAAATTATAACGCGCGCTTACCGCTAGCTGGAATCTTTTATTTATACTTCCAACTTCAACTCGTTAACCATGCTTTAAACTGACTTTCAATCATGAGTTAGCGAGCAGAGAGAAGGATTAGAACAAGGAAGAAGCATTCTCAAGTTGTAAATCGTAGCTTGAGCGAAAGATCTTTGTTTCACTAGCTCAACGCCGGGTTGTCTCCCTTAAACCTCGTCCAGATGAGTAAATTGTACCTGACAATATTTTTATTTGCAAGTGTACGCGAGAAAATTTGTGAAAAATTAAATTTTGTGACGGAAAGAATTGCCAAAAACTAGGACATCCGTTTTAATGTGGCGAATAAAACCACCATTTGTGAAAGTCGATCGCATACACGATTCGCCGTGTAAAATTGGGGTGGTGCAAGCGCGAGCGGACAAAGCGGGAGGCGTGAATGAAAGAGATTCTCCCCGTAGACCAGGTAGACCACTTGCCTGTTCGAGGCTATCAGATAGTGGGAACGGCGCAAGGAAAAACGCTGCGCGACTCTCAACTGTCCCTACGCATGTAACGGGCTACTCAGTGACCTCCAGTACACAAGCCTAAAATTGCCACAAGTACGAGCTGTCAGATACAAAATTCAAAGAGGACAGACAGCAAGATGTTGTTGCTTGCAAGATCTATACGGGTATCTATAGGTCGTAACTGTAATTCCGCTACTGTTTTCGGCTCCATTAAATCCTACGTCAGTGGTAGAACATTTTAGGAACCACCCACAATGTGAGCACAGTTACTGACAAGGCCTATGAGTAGGAAAACAGTGTGAAGAAATGTAATAACAAACTAGTGTTTCTTCTAAGGCCACAAGATAGACTAGTGAATGAAGTGAGTATAGAGCTCACTGTTGAGTTTCTGAAAGCGTTTTTCTCATCCAGTGCGCGGTTAATATTTTTGCACTTTACATTCATATTTTGATATTTCGTACGTGAATTCATTTTGATGCCTATTCGCATTCTAAAATAGACTGTCAGATGATACAGAAGGCGGGTATCATTGAGAAAAAACGCCATTCAAAGTAAGGAAATCATTGAGACGCCACAAAATGACGCTCAAAGAGGTCACTTTGAAAGCCAGCGACGGGGTTTTCGACTATTTGTTTTTTCTACGGCAACAAGATGGACTCAGGGCGCTTTCCATTTGTCAGAACTGGCCGGCCAGTCCATTCCCGTCGCAATGATAATTTCACTTTTAATCAAAACTCTCGAGCCAGATCAGTCAAATTCTAAATGATATTTAAGAAGGAGAACGTTTTCAGCAAAAACTCTTTGAAAAAGCGTATTTCATTTTCAATCTGACTAGTCCGGCCATGGTTCGGCCGGCCAGTTCTGACAAATTGAAAGCGCCCTCAGACTATAGTGAACGAAGTGAGATAGCTTCAAACGAATTGAGTTTAGTGCTGTAATGACGGTCGTGACCCTGAAAAGCATTCTATTTTAATAGCTCTCTCATCCATGGCAACTATCCACGCGCCGGCTTTTACTTCGCGCTTTCGTTCACCTTAATTTTGATTTTTTCCCTTTATTTAACTGAATGGTTCACTTTATGGCCACAAAGTAATTTACGAAGATAATTGTCGGAAACCCCACTTGTAAAGCCTACTTTCTGACAGAGTGCCAAATACAAGCCCAAATCAAATTTATTTCCCGTCTTGAGACTTTCATTTTGCCTGCAAAACAGCGCGCTGTAATTGCGGAGTGTTAAACCGATTTTTGACGCCAGAGATGTGATTGGCCAGGCCGGTTTAAGAAGTGGCCGTACCGTTATTACACGTAGGGAAATTGCTGGTGCCGCAAATCAAGTACATGTAATGCTAATTCAACCTTTGACTTATTATGAAGAACCGTTAACACGTTGTCTGAATACTATTTTTGCATTAAGACAGGAGAAAACATATATTGAAAGTACCTAGGGCTGCTCATAATGTAACCAGTGGCCTGGTTTTAGCAAAGCTAGCAATCTGATCGTGTTAATTCAGTTCAGTAAACGAAACGCATCCATGGATAGGTATGTACGATTGCAAGTTTCTTTTTTATTTTCAGTTCTTTTCTCTATTTTTTTGCTTACGCTCTTCCCGTGGTCTGTAGATATAATGAAATAAGAGGCGCTGACCTTTTTCGAGGAATACTTAACTGTTTGAACCGAAAAAAAAGAAAATTTGTACGTTTAATTTATTCCCTTTAACTGGTCTCCACTATATTCAGGGTGTATTCAAAGGCTGGTGCACATTATCGACTGTTCAGGAAAAACTTCAATCAGTAGCAATTCAGCTAGTAAAACCAACCGTATTTTCCTCATTTTCACCGCACAAGACGGAAAACTGTAGTTGGCAAAAGCCTGTTCGAAATCTACAGAGAAAGACGGATGACTTTTCCCCAAATTTGTTGCATTTTACACGACAAAAAAGTCACCTAACGTCGAATGGCAAAATGGACTGCTTTGTCTTCCTGGGTTTGCCGCGCGTTGCTGCTTTTTTTTTGACAAGCTCTATCACGAATGAACAGCGGAATTGAACAGGGATCTTCGTAGTAGCCTTTAATTTAGACCAAATCATTACCCAGTCCGACAAATTACAACGCGAGTTTGGCGGTGATATCTTGGGCCTTGTCCACACTAATGCGTTTTCAAAAGTATGCGTTTTTCGTTGTCATCGAAAACACATCGATCGATTCGCGTCCAACGTTTTGATGCGTTTTCGACTGTCCACACTAAAACGGTCGAAAACGATAGAATTGCACGTTGTGACGTAAGCTAAACTCTATGCGCATGCTGCAAACACACGCGCCTGCGATATTTTCTGTCGTTTTCATTTTGATGCGTTTTCGACCATTTTCGACTGTCCACATTTATACTATATGTATGCCCTTCTCAATTTCGATCCACTTTCAAGAGCGTTTTCATATCGTTACGTTTTCGATGAAAACGCTCAGTGTATTATTGTGGACAGAAGGCGTAAACGCATCGAAATGTATGCATTTTTAAACGAAAACGCATTAATGTGGACGGATCCTCAATCAGCGACACTTAGATATTAGAAAGAGCTTACGCTTAGTTTAATCAAACCAATATATAGATTTAGCCAGGGCTAAAAGCGAAGTTCTCGTTAATATACTAATAGTTTACTCAAACACAAAATAAAATCGTGTAATGCTAAACGGCGACGGCGACGAGGTCTGATAAGCCAAAATAAAATAAAAAAACTTGGCAACTGCAGCATACCTTTTTGTACATTTCGTTGCCGTTGTTTTGCACGTGAAACTTCCTAGTTACAAGTTTTACGGAGGAAATGTCTTATGTGTTCCTGTTCGCTTCTTTTTCACTGCCGCTCGTTTTCACCTTAGTGGCCGCTAGCATTTCTCATTTTCTCACCGCCGCTATTAGAGTTTCATGTTTTTCTTCCAACGAAATTAGTCTCCTTTGTTTTTCATCTCTCGCTCTAGCTCTTTCTCTGTCATCCACGTCAGTGTAGACATCAAAATTGACTTAAGAGCTGTCAAATAATCTTCATACGGATGGCGTATATAACTGACAGACTATTGTCATTTTCTATGCCTTAATATAGTGCTGGAAGTGTTAGTAAACGTGACACTTGACACTGGCTTACATGTAAGGGGTGAACGGAAGTACGGACGTTCACGTGGTTACCAAAAATTCTCGCATCTGTAGGTTATCATTTTTTCTTATCCATGGTGCTCCGCTGCGCGCGCTCGCACGCGCGAGAGCTCCGCTAATATGAGTAGAAGAAATGGTGTCTTCTCCCACTGTACTAAAAAACGCAGCTTTCCATTTAAGCGTTGCCAGCGATAGTTGCCAAGGAAGTCATACTCTGAATAATATGAAACTCAGACGTACAATATGATAAATATTTAAAGAAATTAAAGTATACAAAAATTCCCGTCTCCGGGCTTTAATCTAAATCATACTAGATCTACCACTAAAAAAACTGCGCACTGAGACGGCAAAATTCATAAAAGCAATGTAAGTTAAACTTCAGTTCTTCCTACAGTAGTCGATGTCTTTAAACAGAATGACGATTTCATGGCTCCAGAGGTCCGTTCTCGAAATACCTAGGATGAAATCAGAGTGAAATCGTGTTCGTCGCGAAGTATCGGGGATGAGGTAAGGAAAAAAAAAACTCTGACATCCACGGCCTGTACAGATCGCAGCATCCTTACAGTCAAGCAAAGTCTCGTGAAATCGTTGATATTTCCGGCTGACTTAAATGATTTGTAAAATTAATGGATGCTGAAATTTTATATCTTCAAGTATCTTTTACATGATGTGATGAGCGGATTTTTCAATCTAAGTTGTATCCTTTGTATACATTCTGGAGAATGATGACACTATCCGTCTAGATCACTATCCGTCTATTTGCGGATCTGAGTCTAAGGCCCGTTTCGTGCTACTTCCGTGCTAAACTGGCTCGACTGTAGCACGACTTGGTTTCAGTCAGTCGAATAAAATCCTTGTTGGTAAAAGAGAAACATAAATATATATTTTAAAAAAACCGATTAAGCTAAATTATAAAACGGAATTCTCACGTATTTCTTCATTTAAGCCGATTTCATTGTCTGAAACAAAGTCATGCTTCTGTCGTGTTTAGCGAGGCAAAGCTCACCGCACTACATGGACGTAGAACGACTTGGTTTTCGACGGTCTCGAACTTCGTGCTATCGCCGTGCGCTTCCTGACATCGAAGTTAAAGGGGTCTGTGACACGACTGTCTGGTTCGTGTTGTTAATAACGCCAATTATACCCACTTTGAATGTTTTGAGTAATTACTCTTATGT